CCTGGGGTGCGTGGGTGGGGGCGGGTGGTGGCGGTTGATGGCGGTTGATGGTGGTTGATGGCGGTTTGGGCGGTTGGGAGCAGCTGATTGCAGTCGGTGACGCCGGACAGCGGTTGAGGGCGGTTGGGGCGGAAAGCAGCGTGATCGCGGGCGGGTCGGGGCTGGTGGGGCTGGTCCGGGGGCGGTCGCGGGGCGGGAAGGCCAAGGGCAGTACGGAGCGTGCTATCGTATATGATTGGGCGCCTGGAGACGAGGCGGGCGGGTCAGGCTCCGCCGGACCGACCAGCCCATCCAGGACGCCGCGTGCCCCTCGAGCCCCGCTCAGCACCCCGTTGGTCACGCGCTTCGGCGTCGCGCAGGCCCCTACCCCCGGGCCGCACGGCCGCCGCTGTGGGGTGGTCACACAGCGGGCATCCGGACATACACTCCAGCCAGATGCAAAAAAACTCAAGCTCCCTCCCCAGACCTGTGGGTGCGCTGTAGTCCCTCTGGAGGATCTCAAACCCGCCCGTCGTGCCGCGCGCATCGTCAGCAGTCTCCTGCAGAGTGGGGGAGGCGAGGGGGGGGGAGCAAAAGCGGGGGGGAGTAGGGGACAGCGCGGCGCGAGCAGTCCGGCGTCGTCGGCGCAGGCGCGGTGAGCGGCAGCCTGTGCGGCGTCCGTCCGCGCCCGTGACGCCCTCCGGCCGCGACCCCGAGCGCGGCGGCTTCTGCTGAGCTCCCCAGGCCCCGCGGCCCCCCTTTGAGGTCCCTGCACATGCGCTGGCCCCCCCACAAGCCATCCAAACCGGCCGTGGTGCCGCTGGACCGGCCCCTCGTACTGCTGCTTTGCATGCGCCCCAGTCTACAGATGGTGCCCACGAATACCCCCTTCCCCCATGAAGGAACACACACGCACGCGCGCACACACACACACACACACACACATGCGTGCGTGCACACACACACACTCACACGCACACAAACACACACACACACACGCACCTGGAAGAAGGCGCCCTTGTGCCAGTACTTCTGCATGAACCCCCACTTGGCCTTCTCCTTGGGGCGGTCGGCCTGGTGGGGGATAGGGGTCGGTTGGTTTTGATAGACGAGGATGCGGGGTTTGGGATCCAGGGTTGGTTGGGGGGCCGAGGGGTGGAGGGG